ATATTCATAATTCATAAGGATTAAAAATAGAAAAAAATAAAATCGCGTGTATTGTAAATCTTAATAAATAGGCAAACGAATCCAGGGCTATATTTATTTTGTATCCTTGGAAAAAATTTAACTACTTCATACTTTTTAACCCCTGTAATATTATATAACATTTAAACAGTAACCTTAGCAAGCCAAGTACAAACAAATATGGTTATGACTTATGATACAATTAGAATATAAAATAAATATTAAATTTAAATGCACTCCCGCATTATTAATATGGGATAAATATTATAAAATAGATTGAAGGATATTACAGTATTTTTTAAAATTATTTTTGATGTAAATGTTAATATTTAATACATTTCAATAATTTGGGACATCATTAAAGGTAATTGAATTTTTTGGCATCTTTGAAGTTGACATTAGTGCCAGAAATATTTCAATAGATTATATGAATACATATGAGTATGGCAAACGGAAGAAAGGTCCGACCTTCCGGAAATAGAGTTAAGCAAGATTCAAAAAAACCCTGAATCAGGTGTCCCTATTAAAAATTGTTCACATAAAAGTCCAAAAACAATTTATCATTTATCATAATTACAAGTATAATCATATTTAGTTATTAAAAGACACAGAGTTAACAAAAACAATTATGAAATACTTTTATAATATTTTGTAATTATAATGAAATATTATTTTCTTATTATTATTCAATATGAATTCAAAAAATCACACAATATCACATTCTAATGTATTTTACATAAATTAATTAAATTCAATCGAAATTATTCCAAAAAAATATGTAAAATAATTAGGTAGTTACTAATATGAATAACGGTTTACTAGATTGCCAACTATCTACTGTATAATATATAATACGTATACTAAATAACTAGCACTTATTTTTTCAACTCAACAATATTTGTGATAACTTATACAAGAGTATTATAATATACTGTGTAGTGTATATTGAATACATTTTACATTAGATTTACATGGATAGTAAGAAAAAATCAAAGTAGGTACAAGTAAGTTTATTAACTAACAGATAATTTTTATATTTTATCAAATCTAAAATAAAAATGTAGTACACAATAAATTAACAGCCATAATTACTTATAATATCATTTACCTGAATAGAGCAACAGAATAATTATCATTCAATGTTTGAATACTATGAAATTTCATGATTTATAAAAATATCGTAGAGAAACTTATGTAGATATGTATTATTACACTACAAGACTCACACTCGCACAACTGTATAAAATGAAACGAACTCTGATACTAAATACATGATATGTAAGAATGCATGTTAAGCAACCAACTACCTGCTGAGACTTAGTTCTTCACCTGATCCTCAAAAGCAAGTTATTCAATTTATATTTTTTTTGTACAAAAGATGAATTTATGTGTTAGTCTCAGAGTAGTCGGAACATTGCAATACTATAGGAGAATTGAAGCCATAAAAGAAAAATGATAATGAAAAAAAGCCCCTTACTTGTCTGATATTTTTTTCAAAAGAATAAGGGACAATGTTCCGACGTATCATATATAGTAATATCTGAATGTGTGGGTGTTGTGAGCAGATGACAAATCAGAGGTCTATAAGTAGGACAGATCCTTGTGCCACATGTACGGCGTGGTTTCAACACGAATGAAAAACGTACACAATAGTAATTTTTATCCAAAATGCAATAATTGTTTATTATGTATAGGTACATTTTCAACTTTATGATATTTTTATCAAATCATTCAACAATTTAAAAAAATTATACTCATTTTTTAAGTAAACTAAAATTTTGAAAAATAACAAATAAACTGTATTTCAAATGTATTTCAGATGGGTAATTTTGTTCTTTATATAAACAATTAATTTCATTAAGATTTGATAGACGTTTAAAAAATACATTGATTTGTATTTAATTTAATTAAGAATAATATATTATTTAACTATGTGAGAAATAGTATTTTCTTTAGTAAAAAGACATAATAATAGAAATTCATCATGTACCCCACTGATATAATAATGAAAATCCCCACTATTTTTTCGAACCCTATCGGACCAAATACTGCAAACCTGAATGTACGTATATATATATACTTATTTTCACAACGTTTAGAATTATTTAGGTGGGTTCAACCCCAAAAGGGTCGTTTGTCCCTTCTATACTTCAACAGTTCAGCCCTCGTCAATCTACACACCTAAAATTGAGTAAGAATTTTATGTGGGCTGCGATTTTGAAACACAATCACTCATCGTTAAACATACAACAATGTTTTGTTTGTCAACAATATAATAAAAATCCGTTGAGTACTATTCTTATTTTTTATTTATGTCAATAATTTTAAGATTCAAAAAGTATACAACATAGAAAAATATAGCGAGGAATTTTCAAAACAGTAAATATATAATAATTATTATTTTTGAATTTCCAGAAAGACAAGGATTTATTTTTAATAGTGTGAATCTTTGTTTATGATTGACCTATTAATATTTATGTCACCTGCCACGTCATGTACCTACATTAAATTTTTAATAATAAATTATCAAAAGGCATTATTATTATTATGTTAAATAATCAATTTAATATTTAATGAGTGAAAAACAAAAAACATTCATTCTTTTAATTCTAATTTTGGAACAACTAAAAAAAAATAAAACTGATTGTAGTAATATTAATTTATGTACTAACCTATTGAATACCTATTAATATATATTTGAAAATTATTTTCACTTTAGACACAACATGTTATTTAACAATCAAATTTTTTTGTATATACTAGAAGTTTTAGGTTTATTTGATCTGTATAATATTCTTTCATACAATATTCAATTAAGTATAAAAACTAGATTCTATTAATATATAATAATAATAAAACCAAAAATATACCTATTTGATTATGATATTCATCCAAACGATAAAAACATTTACTTTAAATTATGTTTATCTTAATGATATGATGTTCTTAGTATGTTTCTTGATTCAATATGATAATGTATGTTTCGAAAAATTTTAAATAACTATTATAGGCAAAAATAATTAAATTCAGCATTAGGATTGAACACCTTGTATATAAAACATAAGCATAGATTTTTCGTTAGTTAGCAACAGACCGGCCTTGTAGTAAGATGACATTGCTTGGGACGCACCGGTCGTCCTTGCTAGATATAATTCTTCCTGCAATAGCCCAACCTCTGCTTAACCAATTGGACAAAACTAAATTTAATTTAATTTTATAGAAAACGAATTTTTATTTGTAAAGTTTGAAATAACTCTTAAAATATTTATATGGTACCTACTATTGTTTGATCACGTCGATAAATTGTAGCCAATATAATGAAAACGAAACATTTGCAGTAAACAATTAAATAATATTAATTTCTATAAGTTATGACAAACAAGCTTCAGTGGCCTCCAGACAGACACTATTTAAATTTAACCTCATCATAACTAATCTTATTTGATATAACCAAACTAACAAATAAAATCCAATGTAAATATTAAATAATACATTGAAGCATAGATATTCAAACAAAATTTATATTTTTACTAAACTACTAATAATTAATTACAATTACAAATTAATTAAAGAATAAATATTTGCAGTTAAATCTATAAAGACAATTTTAATATAACATATTTTTAAAATATATTATAAAGGGTGTGTTATATCCGACCGTGACCTCGTTTCCGTAATAGTAATGAATTATTACATTTCTCTAACCACCCCGTGAGAATGAAACTTTCTATAAAGCACCACACCTTATATACGATAAAAAAAACTATTTCTAGCTAACAGCTGAAATGATACATAATGCACTTGTTTCGATAAAAAATAAAAATTCTAATCATAAAGATTTTAATTTGTAAATCATGCAAGTATAATGCATTAGTACAGATTTCAAAATATGTTTTATGGGATAGAAATATTCATGTATTTATTATTAATATTGTGAAATTTACAAACTTAAGCAATTTAGTCTTTAGCGTATCTCAAATGTTTCCTACAAATTATCTGTGTGGGAAGGGGTCGTATGGTATGACGTAAATTAGAGGCCAATATGTAACCTTGATAATGATTGCGATTCCGACCCAAGTTTATCATAGTAGTAAATAAGAGATGTTTCAATGTTATTACTTTTGTAATCTATGCATTTTTAAACGAACAAAAAAAGACAAAATACAACATAAATAATAAAAAAATAATTTTGTATTTTTGAAAATAATATGATTATTTAGACTTGAAAATTAATAATAAAATAACAAGTGAAAATTAAATATATATATATATATATTGCATTTATAATTTAATAATATAAAGGTTGTTATAAAACATTAATCCATTAAAATATATTTGAAACGATTTATGAATGAAAATATTGACTAAAAACAAAATATTATGATAAGGTACAATATTTATTTTGACATTTTAATAAGCGCGGTAAGACATTAGTCCAATATTTTCAATCGAATGGTCAATTTTAATTATAAAGTACGAAACGAGGTAACCAAATCAGTATTTCCCAATTCAAAAATATACTTTAAGTCAATAGACATTGAAGTCGTAAATAGAGTAAGAGGCACCAATTATAAATAAGAATTAGTCTCTGAATGAACTATATTGTGATAAATGTATTTTTCAAAATTCGTGTTCAATCACATTGTTTTCTAAAATCACTAAACGTGTAAAAACTACTTTAAAAAAGTTGATCGTTTTATAGATATTGGAGGAGACTCAAGGGCAACCTTGGCTATGACATTGTATCATTATAACTCTTGATTGTGTTTGTTGTATATTCGTACGTCAATTGTATAAATTAAAAATATATACATATTTTAATTACAGTGGTCAAAATTAGAGGGCCGTGCAAATGCATGTATATGATTAGTTTAAGTACTTATATATTATTATAAGAGTATTGAAGTCTAAAGCACTTAAAATATATATCAATAAAATGTACCTAATGTTTTAAACTAAAAATTAATAATAACTAAACTCACCTTGCTAGAGCCATCCTAAAACATGTATCAATGTTTATGTTCAATTTAACTTTTGAGTAATCCACTTTTGGCACAGCCACTTTACCTACTTATATAAAAAATCGAGAATATTGCACTATATTTTTTCACTTTTTAAGTTAAAATCAAAAACTTAACATTTGGCACTGTTACAAAAATTATAAATAAAAAATAAAAATTTTATTTGGGAATAATATAATAATTTAAACAAAGATAACCTATGCCCCGGCTATTCTAAAACGACACGTCGTTGGACAAAATCGCACAAGCCAACGGACACCACACCGGGCTGGAACGGAATGAAATCGACGAAGTGAATACCATCGAGAGGCACGAGGTTAGTGTTTTCAGAGGGGAACAGAATAAAGCAGTGCGTACAAGTACAATAATAATTTATAATGCGTACAATAATTGTAAGAAGTTATATAATTTTATAAAAATATAGTATTATAGGTTAATATAAATACATGTTTTTATGATTTGTACAGTTTAAAATTTAGTTTTCAAAACAAATGTACTACTTATGTACTTAAATAAAATATATAGAATTTAAATTTTAAATATACTATAATCCAAAATGTATTACCTATTTAGAAACTTTAAAAATGAAAAGTATAAGAAGAATTAGAAGATAATACCAACATGAATTTTTAAATTTAAAACTAAAAGTGTATCGGAGCAATAAATTGATAACTATTTGAAGTATTTTGGACGCCAATGTGTTTATCTTACCAGAAATACTAAATATACTTATATGATTAATTTAAAATAATCAAACATACTCGTACACAACAATTATTAATACAACCATAATATTATACCTATTTAAAATTAATTAATTAAAAATATCTTTTAAAATATATTAAATTATATTTTGTTTTAACCTTAAGAAAAATACTAAGTGATTGTCAAAATGCCAAAGCCAGTAATGTTAATAATCGCATAGTAAATAGCATTTTAATTTAAAATAATTTATTTTTATGTTGATTTGTGTACAATATTTTATAAAATGCATTAGTTTTGGAATGTGAAAATAAAGTTTGATTTTAAAATTTAAATGTAATGTTAAATTAATATAACAATTAAAATATTGTTTATTATTGCAAAATTCGTGCAATACCGATATAGATACCCTACTATAGTATTATATATTACATACTACTAAAAAAAAGCTTTAATTTTTCAGTTAAAATTTTATTCTATACTACATTATTTTGTAACTACAATTAAAGAGTAATTTTAAAAACCTTTTCTACTACAATTTATTTTTGTTTCTTATTGAATATAATTAATTTAATAATTTATACTTACTTGAAAGAAAAGTAGCATCAGAAACTATGCGATTATAATTATGTAATAACAGGCAAAACTAATGTGAAAAAATTTTAAAAAATTTGTGATGTAATATAGATTATACCTACATTTAAAATCCTATACGTACTACACCTATTTCTATGAAAATTTACTTTTAAATTAAAATTTAATTTTTAAAGATAAATTATAAATTCAAATATAAAATGTTTTTGCAGTAGAAACATAAATGGCGTTTCTTTTTTTTTAATAAATATACCTAATGCCTTTTACCACCATGCATTTTTTCTATAATAAATCCTAAAATATATTATGTAGATTTCTAATAAATAACTATTATTGATATGCAGCACAATAATATTTATGCAGTTAAAATTATATTTTATAGTTCATCCAAGAATATCATATGATTAAAACTTGATTAATATAACAGATAAAATTCAATTAAACGTAAATTAGTTTATTTTTTTTAAATAAATTGCATTAGGTCATGATATTTACTTTAATATTGCAAAGCGTTATCTTTCAATTTATTATTAAACATGAAACACTTAATTGATAATTAATAATAATATTGAACTAATAAAAATATAGGTCAGAGAAATTAAATCTTATGTCTATGCTAGAAATGAAATTCCATTACTACCTGTCACTTTAAATATGTATATATAATTTATACATATCCTCGTAAGGCAAATATTATATTAATTATATTATACAATAAACATAACATATTTAATACTGAAATCATTTTTTTAAGTTTAATTGATTATTACAATATTTTTTACAAAACAAATCATTAAACATTTATATAATATTTGTTAAAAAGTAATTTATGCTCTAAATTTTAAAACGCACAGTTTTAAAAGCAAGTTATTTTTAAAGATTTAATATACTTTTACATAATTTTCTTATTTTCAATCATTTCTGACTGCTTTATGAAAAACATTTAAGTTGGACACTTTATTGTCTCGGTAACCCGGCTACTAAACGAGGACGCTTTGCACAAATCATCGTATATTTAAACAATAATAATATATAGAATTCTAGGTTAGAACGGGCGGTGGCACAGATCACCGTCGACTGATTCCGGACCTGCTAATTTTAACGCTGCTACCAGCCATAATTTTAACCTCTTATACTATAATGTATCATCGACATATCACGTTTTAAATGAAGAAAATCAAAAAAATATGTAAATTTACAATTTACTTGGTATAACTTAGTATAACATCATAAAAAAAAAATTAGGTATATCTATTGAAGTATATTTTTTAATTTCTAAAATATTATTGTTCATATGAATAATTCAGAGTCATAAATAGATTAAATATCGACGGAGGGGTGTATCATAAATTTTAAGTAATAATCAAAACATTTAAAAATAGTATTATTTTTCTTTATTACGATGTGGTAACGTTAAATTATTATACTATAACCTATTTTTTTTTTCACTAGAAACTTGAAAAGTCTATAAGTGATAACATAATTACAGAGATAAACACAAACTACGTACGTGAAACGCGATTATTAATTTTTTCGAAGGTGACTGCCCCATTACTTATTATATACAATATTATAAATACAACTATAACTTTTAAATATAAAATATTAATAAGATGTGCGTCGATATCATGGACAACAAAATATATCGCCAAGAATAAATTATTGGGATATAATATTTTATTTTATACTTTAATACTAAAAAATTTTTATCTAAAACTTTCCAACAAATTATACTTTGTTATGGTAAGTACTTATCATACTAATAAGTATTACATAAATATTTTCAACGTTATTTTATCGGTCTGGCCCTGATATGATGTCAGAAACGTCAACTCCTTTACTGATACCACGGAGTCCTTGGCACGTCTGTACAACAGGCTCTTTATCATTTTTATTTTTAATGATTCGTAGTTAAGTTTTATGGCTTATAATAATAGCAAAAAGGCATAGCGAAGGATAATATTTTTGAAAACACGTCATGTTTAACATGATAAATTAATTACGTAGATATTTAATATCAATTAGCCACAAATACTACACAATAATAACACTCAATTATAGTTTTGACTATATAATACATATTATTCAATTTATACGTACATTACATTTTAAATACCTACTTGATTTTTTTTATTTCAAATGCCAAACCAATATTCAAGAAACAGAAAAAACTTAGTCTTATATTTGAGCACCCTGTGAAAGTACATCAGAATAAAAAAAAAATTCAAAAGAAAAACTTCAGACCCCTTTCACCTGTCTCTTTCTCCAAAAGAGATCGACACAATTTCACGAGTACTTATGTAACAACGGTTACGCGTGCTAATGTTAAATCAACTATAATACTACTCGAACCAGAAACAGCATTGTTTAGCAACAAAAAATTAGGTTAAATAAATAAATAAAGAACATTTTAATAACATCTGGTAATTTCAATAAATTTGTAAACTTTAAAATCAATTAAAAAGTTGATATATTAGTAAGATAGTTCTTTTAAATAAACTGTTAAGATGTACATTAAAATACTTTAGTAAGTTTACTATAAAAATACAATTTAAATAAAACATTATGACTTACGACATGATGGGGAGTTAAATGTCAAATCAAAATCTAGCAGTGTTCTGTAAAAAATAAAATACTTACATTAATTATTACGTTGAAATTGATATAGTTATATATATTTATAATATAATTGTAGATATATATATATGTTAACAAGTATATAAGTGTTTACATGTATATACAATAACATAAAAAAGTTTAAATCGTTAATTTTTTTTTTTTGGTTTTCCATTAAAAAAATGGGGCACATGTGGTCCAAATTATAATTTAGTAACTAGGTCAAGGTTTCTCGCAAACATAATATTTTATAGCTGCAAATGCAACATATGCGATACTACAATATGTTTGTTAAGTTTTAAGTACTACATATTTGTTATAGGTTCAAAATCGATAAAACTATTTTTTTCAGTTATAATATGATAGTTGTGATGATTTAGTATTATTTAGGTTGGAAAGCGTTTTAGTTGTATAATACAAAATATTTGCTAAAACCATTCGTACTTTTGTTAATGTTTAAGATGTATGGTTATATTGTTTTAAATCCTTAGAAAGTGGCCTAGAGAGATTTATTATGCTATAATAAACACAGATAACTAGAGAGACCTCCAAACTGAGGAAGAGTTAAACATATGAAGGTTGAAGGTGTTTCCTGCTGCTACGGGGACAAACACTTTCCAATATTATACATATTATAAACTTGTACCTATATACTCCATATACATTTATTTTCAAATAGATTATTCTCAGGGCTATATGTAGGAAGGCGACCAATATCCAAACTTAGACTTCAACTTACACTTCAAGATCAAATGCAATAAATAAAAATATACTAAATTTGTTCTGTATTTTAAATATCTAAATATCAAATAAATAGTTATGGATAATGAAATTGGAAACATATGTTTAAAATTAATGGACTTAATCATAAAGAGCATTTTTTTAATGTTTAATTAATTATACAATCTTTTTAATTATAATTTAATGGGATCTTATCATTAGAAAGCAATTATATTATATTTCCTTGGTTTCTAAATATTGAATTCTTCGAATATTTTTTAAATTTATGATATCAAACTTTAGGTACAATATAGGATTAATTGTAATTTTTAATATTATTTAACGTTCAAATTTAATTATTTCAAAAGAAAACAGTTAATAACCTAAAATTATGTTTTATATTTAAAATCATTCATAAAATTATTATTTAATTTTATATTTTAATTTTTTTTTAATAATACGAACAGAATTTAAAATAGATCCTATTT